CTGCCGCTCCCCAGTAGCAGTCTGCCAGCTCCCAGAAGCCTGCCAGGGCCTGGAGAAGGCAGGCGCCTTCCTGGTCCAGGGTGGAGATCATGGACCTTATTCAGGTTTGGGGGGATCCCCCCCCAACGTCCATGATCTCCACACTAGATGGAGGAATGTGGCCATCTGTGGCAGGATAGCTGCCAGCCTGGCCACCAAAGGCCACATGTGAACCCAGGAGCAGGTTTGCATGAAAATCAAATTGGTCCGGCAAGAACCCCAACCCTGAGCGCTGAGCTTCCCCTCCTGCTTCTTCCCCTTGCTTCTCCCTTCCAGCTCCCTCCTTATTTCGAAATAATGCTGTAGTGTAGACATACCCTAATAAAAGAACATAATTTGTTGGGCAAATGTCAACATGGTTTCTGTAAAGGGAAGTCATGTTTTACTAATCTCATAGACTTTAAGGTCAGAAGGGACCATTATGATCATCTAGTCTGACCCCCTGCACAATGCAGGCCACAGAAGATCATCTTAGTGGCCCTTCTTGATGATCCACAACGGATCATCCTAGTGGCCCTTCTTTGTACCTGTTCCAGTTTGAATTCATCCTTCTTAAACATGGGAGACCAGAACTGCACCCATCCCCTCCTAGAATAATCCTCTCACCTATATCTCAGATATTGAAGCCTTCAAATAGTTTGAAGACCCCAAGATGCAGAGAATCCTCCAGCTCTGATCTGTACCCCATGCTACAGAGGAAGGCGAAAAACCTCCAGGGCATCTGCCAATCTACCCTGGAGGAAAATTCCTTCCCGACCCCAAATATGGCGATCAGCTAAACCCTGAGCATGTGAACAAGACTCACCAGCCAGACACCCAGAAAGTTCTCTATAGTAACTTCTATCATCCCTCCATTGACCTATTTACCACTGATAAGGAATGGTCAATTAGTTACCAAGATCTTAGTTACCAAGATCATGTTATCTCATCAAACCATCCCCTTCATAAATCCATCTAGTTTCATCTTGAAGCCAGATAGATCTTTTGCCCCCACTACTTCCCTTGGAAGGCCGTTCCAGAACCTCAATCCTCTAATGGTTAGAAACCTTTGTCTAATCTCAAGTCTAAACTTCCTACTAGCCAGTTTATATCCATTTGTTCTTGTGTCCACATTGGTATTAAGCTTAAATAATTCCTCTCCCTCCCTGGTATTTATCCCTCTAATATATTTAAAAAGTGCAATCATGTCCCCCCTCAGCCTTCTTTTGGTTAAGGTAAACAAGCCAAGCTCCTTGAGTCTCCTTTCATAAGACAGGTTTTCCATTCCTCGGATCATCCTAGTGGCCCTTCTTTGTACCTGTTCCAGTTTGAATTCATCCTTCTTAATCATGGGAGACCAGAACTGCACACAGTATTCCAAATGGGGTCTCACCAATGCCTTGTATAATGGCACTAACATCTCCTTATCCCTACTGGAAATACCTCGCCTAATACATCCCAAGACCGTATTAGCCTTTTTCACGGCCATGTCACAATGGCGGCTCATAGTCATTTAATCATGGGAGACCAGAACTGCACACAGTATTCCAAATGGGGTCTCACCAATGCCTTGTATAATGGCACTAACATCTCCTTATCCCTACTGGAAATACCTCGCCTAATACATCCCAAGACCGTATTAGCCTTTTTCATGGCCATGTCACAATGACGGCTCATAGTGATCCTATAATCAACCAGGACTCCGAGGTCCTTCTCCTCCTCCGTTACTTCTAGTAGAGTTCTTTGAAGGAGTCAACAAACATGTGGACAAGGGGGATCCAGTAGAGATAGTGTACTTAGATTTCCAGAAAGCCTTTGACAAGGTCCCTCACCAAAGGCTCTTATGTAAATTAAGTTGTCATGGGATAAGAGGGAAGAGCCTTTCATGGACTGAGAACTGGTTGAAAGACAGGAAACAAAGGGTAGGAATAAATGGTAAAGTTTCAGAATGGAGAGGGGTAACTAGTGGTGTTTCCCAAGGGTCAGTCCTAGGATCAATCCTAGTCAACATATTCATAAATGATCTAGAGAAAGGGGTAAACAGTCAGATGGCAAAGTTTGCAGACAATACTAAACTACTCAAGGTAGTTAAGACCAAAGCAGACTGTGAAGAACTTCAAAAAGATCTCACCAAACTAAGTGACTGGGCAACAAAATGACAAATGAAATTTAATGTGGATTTTAAATGTAAAGAAATGCACATTGGAAAAAATAACCCGAACTATACATATAATATGATGGTGGCTAATTTAACTACAACTAATCAGGAAAGAGATCTTCGAGTCATCGTAGATAGTTCTTTGAAGACGTCCACGCAGTGTGTAGCGGCAGTCAAAAAAGCAAACAGGGTGTTAGGAATCATTAAAAAAGTGATAGAGAATAAGATAGAGAATACCTTCTTGCCCTTATATAAATCCATGGTATGCTCACATCTGGAATACTGTGTACAGATGTGGTCTCCTCATCTCAAAAAAGATATACTGGCATTAGAAAAGGTTCAGAGAAGAGCAACTAAAATGATTAGGGGTTTGGAACGGGTCCCATATGAGGAGAGATTAAAGAGACTGGGACTTTTCAGCTTGGAAAAGAGAAGACTAATGGGGGGATATGATAGAGGTATATAAAATCATGAGTGGTGTGGAGAACATGAAAAAGGAAAAGTTATTTACTTGTTGCCATAATATAAGAACTAGGGGCCACCAAATGAAACTAATGGGTAGCAGGTTTAAAAGAAATAAAAGGAAGTTCTTCACACAGCGCATTGTCAATCTGTGGAACTCCTTGCCTGAGGAGGTTGTGAAAGCCAGGACTATAACAGGGTTTAAAAGAGAACTAGATAAATTCATTCAGGTTAAGTCCATAAATGGCTATTAGCCAGTATGGGTAAGGAATGGTATCCCTAGCCTCTGTCTGTCAGAGGATGGAGATGGATGGCAGGAGAGAGATTGCTTGATCATTACCTGTTTGATTCACTCCCTCTGAAACACCTGGCATTGGCCACTGTCGGCAGACAGGGTACTGGGCTGGATAGACCTTTGGTCTGACCCAATATGGCCATTCTTATGTTCTTATGTTCTTTTCTTTAACAGCTCAGTTAAGTCCAGGACACTAGGCAGCACTGTCTCTTTTACTCAAGCATTAAACCTACCGAGTATTGTGTTTCCAGTGACCAAATCCTTTGCATAACTGTGACGGCGTGTTGGGGTTTTCTCTTCTCCTGCACCCCCGTTATGGCACGGACAGACTGCACCAGCCAGTAGCATATAGAGTGTTTATTACTTCTCCCGGATACAGCATAGTACAGATGTAATCTGGTTACAGGGCAGGCCTAGGATGCCTCAGCCCCCCTTGAGATGGGGGAGACTGGGCCCCTAAATTCCAGCCCCTTTCCCTAGGCTGCTTCCTTCATGATACCAGCCAGAAACTAACTAACTCACTTCCAGCCCTGCCCCCAGCCAGGGCTCCACTCCCCTTCGTCCCATTGTTCCACTCCCTGGGAGATAGCAGGTCAGATAGGTTTGGAGCCCCCTTTGCATAATGACACATCCCCTGCCCTGCTGGGCTGTGCTACAGACAGCAGCCAGTGGAGGTCACCCACAGCCCACTGCCCAGCATAGCAACCAGCAATGTACCCCCAGAGGTTCTTTAACCTATGGATGTCACAATAACCCCCAGAGGTTCTTTAACCTATGGATCGAGAATCATACTTTAAAGCTTATCCTATCATTCTCAGGAGTTGTGTTGGTGGTTTGTACATTAACTGCTTTATTAGAGTAAGTTAACTGGCAGTTAACATGGTTTATCATCATCAACAACAACAAAAAGTCAACCCTTTTTTACTAAAAGCTTTTCTCCAAATTTTGACTGTGGGTATGTCTACACTACCACCCTAGTTCGAACTAGGGGGGTAATGTAGGCAACCGGAGTTGCAAATGAAGCCCGGGATTTGAATTTCCCAGGCTTCATTTGCATCTCGCCGGGCGCCGCCATTTTTAAATGTCCGCTAGTGCGGACTCCGTGCCGCGCGGCTACACGCGGCACGGACTAGGTAGTTCGGACTAGGCTTCCTATTCTGAACTACTGTTACTCCTCGTTACTCCTCGTTACGCCTCGTTACTCCTCGTTTCAATTTCAAACTCCCTGGTCCAGTGCACTCAGGACCTGCCCGGTCCCAGATGAGGAGTTTTGCTGGACCAGGAGAGGTCATTTCTGGTCCCCCTTGACAACAGCTGCTTTCCCCTGCCCCTGCAGCTCTGGCGCAGTTGCCAACCCCACTGCTCTGGTCCCTTAGTCTTGCCAGCTGTGCGCCAGGCTCCCATCTCCACTGGCAGCTCGCTGCTGGTAGTCTGCTAACCTACCAGCCCACAAATCTTCTAGCTGCCATCTTCCATGGTACTCTCTCTTCACAGATGTTGCTGGACAAGTGAGTCCCACTTTAGGGAAGTTCAACCTGTACTTCTTAATCCTTCTTTATATGTCAGGCTATAGACGCCTTCTGAGACAACCTCTCCCATTCACTCCTATGTTTAATCCTTTCCTGCAGTCAGTTCCTACCCACTACCTAATCTTCTGCTTTATCCTGTCCTAGTCATCCATCATACCTCCTTTCAGCTGTGAACTCCATTCCCCTGCAGAAATTGAGCTGAGATTGGTTCTGATGTCTCGGGGCAGTGAAGGTGTTTCCTGGTGCTGCTGCCATAGTTCTTGTCTCCTGGAAAGCAAAGCTGATTATTAGGCTATTCCGGGAGATGCTGGTGGAGCTCCTACAGTACACCTTACAGTACAAAGGAACAACTGCTAATTTATCCACCACCTAGATAATGCAGCTAGAGTTTTTGGCTCCCAAAAGATCTACAGCCTTTTGTAGTTTTCCATTGATTCATAAATGGTAGGCCAGAAGTCACCACTGTGGTCATTTAGTGTGACATCCCATAAAATACAGGCCAGAGGACTTCCCTGAATTGATTCCTGTTTGAACTGGGGCAGCTTTTTTAAGGAAAAAAATACAGTTTTGATTTTAAAATTGCCAGTGACAGATAAGTGGTTTCAAACCTTCACTGTTTATTTGTACTTTATTTCCTGTCTGAATTTGTCTAGTTTCAATTTCCAGCCATTGGATCTTTTTATATCTTTGTCTGCCAAATTGAAGAGCTCTCTGTTATGAAATTTCTGCTGCCTATGGAAGGTACTTATAGACTGTGATCAACTGACCCCTTGCCTGTCACTTTATTAAGGAAATTGGATTGAGGTTACTCTTTAAAGCAGTGGTTCTCAAAGTCCATTAGTGTTCCCCAGCCACCTCCCAGGTAGTTCGCAGAGGGAGCTCACGCCCCCTCATGCAGCGGGGAGCCCACATTGGTGCTACAGCCTCATGGTCAGTGTGCAGCCAGGAGCCTGCAGTACCAGCTCTGCCCAGCAGGAGGGGAGGTGAAGAAAGCAAACTCCCCCCTCTCCCCCCCCACATGCAGGCTACATGGCTATGCGTGGAGGAGCACTGCTGCAATGGTAAGAGTGGCACATCCCGCAGTTGGTCCTGCAGGGCAGGTAACAGGTTGGGCTGCGCAGGGCTAAGCCAGGTGGGACAGACTCTCATCATGCACAAGTAGCCAGCACCCCCTCCTTCGCTGGCAGCAGGTTGGGCTGCGCTGCACCTGACAGTGGTGAGAGGCGGTGATGCTGGGACTGAGGATGCTGGGACGCAGGAAGCAGGTGGGGGCTTGGGGCCCTTTGGGCTTTGCACCTATGGGGACTCGGTCTGGGGGAAGGAGCTGAGTAGCATCCTGGCCCCCGAGGGTGCCATGGACTGGACCCCTGTGGGACCCCATCCCCTGCAGGTCTGGATACCCCAGGGTCACCTACCCATCCACCCCTGCCTTGCTGCACTGCACCCAGCCTCCCTGCCTCTCCATTTCCTTGAACCCCCCCCAACCACTTTGACCCCAGCCCTATTCCCAGGGGCACCTTACCCACCATTTCTCTGAATCACCTCAGCCACTCTGACCCCCAGCTGTAGCCACAAGCACTCCCTGCCCCTGGCCAGACACCCTACCCGCAGTCCACTTTTGCACCTTCTTTCCTAGCCAGACACCCTATTCCCAGCCTGCTTTGGCACGCCACCTCCCTCACAGATTCTGCCCCCTATCCCTATCCCACTCACTGGCAGCCATGTCCCACACTGAACCCCTCATTTTTGTCCGCACCCCACAGACTAAGGGTGTCCATAAAATCCACTGATTCTGGAACCCCAGAAAAATAAATCTGGCATATGGGAAGACTTGAACCTCAGTCCTCCCTGCCCTTGCCCCTTCCCTCATCCCGGGAGGCTGGAGCGCCAGAGGAGTGAAGTATCTCAGTTGGAGGCCACATCAGTGAGGCTTGGGGGGTTTGGAAGGAATTTTTTCTGCTTCTCACTTATGTGGTCCCCAGCTGATTTTTCTGTGGGTCCTGACACAAAAAAGGTTCCCCACGCCTGTCATAAAGAAAACATTGAAACCTTTCGTGTTGGACACAAATTAATATTTTATTTTATTTAAAATAATGTTTGATAAACTAACATGAGAAAGTTAAAGCGCTTAATCTGTTTAATAATTTAAATTAAACCATTCTCCCTATCTGCAGCACTAGCAAAATGGCTTGGGAGTAATTGTGTAATTAATGGTGAGTTTTCATTAGCAACTGGTGGTCCGCAGAAAGGTTTACATTGAGCCAAGTGGTCCATGGGCCAAAAAGTTTGAGAACCACTGCTTTAAAGTAATGATAGGACTCAATAATATTACTAACATGACACACGCAATGCAAAGCAGGCCACTGCAGGTGAGATTCAGATCCCAGAATGCCACAAACTACCTGTTCATACCTGCCTCTTCCCCTGTGCATCCCCTGTCCCCACTTCTTCCCCTCCCTTTCTCCTCCCCCCCGAGCTTGCAATGCTCCAGAAGCTCTGGAGGGGTGAGGTAGGAATCGTTGAGCAAGGGGCTGGCGTTTCCCTGTGAGAACCCTCAGGGATGCAGGACCACAGATGGTGCCAGACTCCAGAAGTTCAGACCATAGAGGTCAAACCTGCATTTCTAGATACTGATAGGAATTTTTGTCCTGCTCAGCTATGTTCATTGTGACATCACAATTCAGAAAATGCGGTAAGAACGTACTGCAGTTTTTTATATTCACCTGGAATTTCCATTTGTTTTAAAGGAGGCTTTGGTGTACACTCAGGGTATGTCTAGACTACATGGCTCCGTCGATGGAGCCATGTAGATTTGTTGTTTTGGAAAAGGGAAATGAAGCCGCGATTTAAATGATCGCGGCTTCATTTACATTTACATGGCTGCC